ACAGTAGAGTATTGGGTTCAGGGTGGAATTCAGAAATACCAGAGAATACGAAAACAACTGTAGTCCCGCTAATGTGGTAGTGGTCTTAAACCCTCTCATTCTTAAGACCGAAGTGCAGACAAAAAACGGCAGGTACCAAATTAGTAATACAAGATACACGTAGAATACACCGACTGCTGATTTTATTAGCCCCGCAAAATTGGCTATTTCACCAGGATGCGGAGCATCACACTGTATTTGCAGGGACTGTATCTGATTCTTGTGTCGTCGAACAGCTAAATAAATCCTGATGTAGGCCATTGCTGTCAGAGCGTGAAGTAGAATCCCGAGATCAATAAGAATTGAGCTTGTAATCTGCATCGGCAACCAGAGCCACATCATGGAGAGAAACGCACTCAGTGTCCATGTGGAGATCACCATAACAACGACACGCTTGTGAGTCACAAGTTCTTGATATCTCAAATGAAAATGAACAGCCAAGAATCTGTCCAGGCTTATGGCCACACTGCCACCGAAGGAAGCTATGCAAAACATCGTCAGTGTGATACGAAAGCCCTTAAAGGACACACACTCAGAATTGTCGTTTTGCATCAACTTGACAAGAGTTGAGATGAAGAATGGCTGACCAAACAAACTAACACCCAGATCAGATACAGCAAGATTAATCAGCAACACCCTAAGTGTTCTCGGCAAGGCTGATGCCTTCCGTATTCCATGGATTGCCAATATGTTTAACATTGTTCCTGTATAACAAAGAAAACTGTTGAGGAAGACGTTTGTGATTCTCGTCGGGCGAAGCCTCGATACTTCGGTTTTATCTCGCATTTGTTGCAGCCATCGGTCACAAAGTGAGGTCTCCATGGGAGGAACTTAGGGTCAGAAGAGGAATGCTGCTGAAATATTGTGGGGATGCACGTGAAACAGTGCAGGACAATATACTACCTGACGAAACACTGAGAATTAAGAGAATTGATATATATAAATAATGGCGCGGTATGCAAATTCCACCGGAGTAGAATCACTCCGCAAAATCCTAATGTAACACAAAGCAAGAAGGAGGTGGAAAACAGGTAACTCTCTATCTTATGTAGATAAGACAATGAGAGCTCTCTTTCCTTACCGGACGGATAATTATTTTTCCTTTGCTTGAATTTGCCTTAAATGACATCGTTATATATCTTGAAATATGAATAAGAAAATGAAACTATTCCCCATGTTTGCCTTCAAATTCAAATAAAGATCTGTATTTGACTACGCAGCTGAGCAAAGTACTGAGTAATGGGTGCATTATCAAGTGTCATCGTTAAACGAAAACGGATCGTTTTAAAAGCTGTTGACTATTTTTACAAAATAGACGTTAGTTTTACGAAAAGTTTTTTGTATAGGCTTTGTCATATCTTTGGCTTCATATCTGGAATGGTAAGTGAACCAGAAGTTCATGGAATGGAGAAAATGAATTCCCCAAACTTATGATATGTATATTACAAAAACAGTAACTAAGCAGAAAATAAAAAAGTAAAAACATCAAATAAAAGGCTACGGCACTCAATGCACAAACAAACGTTTAAACGTGAAAGTAAAAGCTTGCGATAAGAATTAACCAATTTACCAATGAATACAGCCTCCGGAAGCTGCTTGAAGTTTTCACGGCTGCTTGACATGTACTTGGGAAACACCATTTAAAGAAAGTAGTCGGAACACTTTGATGGTCGATAAAGGATGTGTATCGGCGTGGATTAAAAGAGAGTGTGAACTCTGTGGATACTTATAGCCTTACCAACAGAAGGCCGGAACACCATGATGACTGATAAAAAAAAAAGAAATATTTGCCATTTTAAATGGAAGGGTTTGCAAATCTACAGCGGCCTGTGATGTACTCATACCATTCGGTGGTTTCAAAACTCACTTAAAGCCGACTGGAGGCAGTTTTGAATGCTAAAAACTTATTTGCTAAGGGGTACTAAAAGAAATTTCCAGTTTAACTTCAACTTCCAGAGAATTACCTGCCGGAACTTTAGAGTAACTTTAACATAACAAAAGTCTCCAACCTTCTCTCTATCAGCCGACTACAGTTCTCTCATTCTAGTTTTGTTTGACTTATTTAAGAGAAACATTGTCTTTCTAGGCACTTGTCATTTGGAGACCACAAAAAAGATTCCGCAAGAATTGGTCGTCATTTTTGCATGAATAATTTCGTCTTAGCTCTCTTTGCTAAAATGAGTAGACTATTAGATGAACAGATTCGCAAACTTCAGTATGTACAGAACGCGGCAGCGCTCTTACTTACCAGCGGACACAAAAAGGATCATACGAAGCAAAAGCTAAGGGAACTGCATTGGCTACCAAAGCAGCTGATCAATTAAAGACAAATTTAGCAGCATTCTAAGCTTGAAAGGGGCTTAATTTATTTTTTCGGAAGTTCAATAAACAGCTAGGCCTGTCCTTAACAAACTAATTCTCAAGTCGAGGAAAATCCACCGATGATATTTCCAAATCTGTTATTAAAGCTGCTCAACAATATTTCCCTCTGACACCAACATTTTGACGTCGACTGATGTGTCAAGCCCAATGTTTTCAAGCACTGATACTTCGAAAATTATTAATTCTAGAGTTTGCCCTCAGAAATTTAAGATGACAAAAAACAATTAAATTCCGGAGATGAATTGATAATACATCAGAAACATTTATTTTATCCAGTTACAGTAATAAAGACAGTGAAGCAAGAAACAGGTCGTTTCGTATAAAGATACTTTGGCTCGATACACGTTTAAGAACTTGCCGCCGTTGACTTCCCATTGGTCGTTCATGTTAAGATGACGTAATTCAACGTGAAAACATTGGGGAATATCTCAAACTTTTATTATAACACTGAATTACTTTATAAGTTATACGTTGATCGAGACGGGAAAAACAACAATTGTGAAAACAAGGCTAAGGTGAGGGCAGAAGGAGGGAAGAAATGTTGACCAAGAAGGTTATCTTTTTGCTTCTAATCCTAACTGCTGCAGCAGAGGGTGAGTAGCCAAGCCATAAGGTGATATAAAATTCACTTGCTCTTACTACTTCAGAGATTTTTTCCAATAAGCAAGGATCATTCGTGATCAGTGAAGTGATTGTAAGGTCAGTCTATCGATGTGAATTTATCCTCAGTTTCATAATGGAACGAACACGATGAAGACTTTGTAATTCGATACAAGCGTTTGCTCCAAACAGAATCAAGATTGGAGTTGTTGAAGAAGTGTAGAGAGTCACGAATTGTAGAATTTTATTTGCATGAACTTTTTTCCTTTTTCGTTTAGCACCCCGATGAAGAAATAACTTTCGACTGAGATTAAACTTTTCAAAGTTAAATGATCACACGTCCCTAGACTAGATTTTTCTTTTCGTTTAGTGTTCTTAACATCACAAACACATGTCTACTAGAACTCCTCCATATCTTTTAATTCATCCTCTTCTTCTTCATTTAGCTACGTGAATAATAGATACCACGCAATATACACCAGTGTAATTAAAAAATCGTGCCAAAAGTCTTTTTTATCCACGGCAAGTCATCAGGCAATGAGAATTGTTTCTATCATTTATTGGCTGGTTGGCTTGAAATAACAGAACTCAAGTTCCTTATTGCTTTCATTTATTCATCTCGAAAAGTTCACTTCTGTCTACATTCGAAAGCGTTGATATGCGACTATGATCAGTTTTCTATAATAAGCAATCTTTTTACACACACAGAATCGAGACAATATTTGATCATATTCAGGAAGGAACTCGTAAAAAAATATTGAATTTGACAGCCGCAATACCGAAATTATTCTTAAAATGTTTAAAAGACGACATAATTACGAACGCTAGAAAAACTACTCATCATCATTATCCACGTGGCAATAAATTTTTAAAAGCATTTTTGGCTTGAAGACATCTTAACCCTAGCCGTAACTCTTAATGTTTTTGTGAAACTTCGATCCAGTCCACTATCAGTGACATACGAGTCTGAGATGAAACAAGGAAAAGTAACCACTCACGAAACGCCGCATACGAAGCTTTTGAGGTCGCTTTTTTTTCATCACTACGCGCACTTTTAATTCTAAGAAGAGTCAAGGCCTAACAATGACTTGAACGGAAACTTCTCATTACACGAGTATCGTGGGAACCATTACACGATTGAGTTCCTTCCTTGATTCTTTCTACATGCGAAATGTCTTTCGTATCCTTTGTGTTTTTTGGGTATTTTATATATTCTGCATATCAATATCAGCTAAGTGCGTAAGATTGGAACAGTTGTTTACCCGCTGGTAATAATAGCAATCGATCTGTCGGATGAGCTAGAAGCTTAGGAGTATGGTTTGAATAAAAAATGTTAATCTACCAATTATCTCAAGTATACCACATACTCAAGTGTCAGCTCTCTAAGAACTTCGAATTGGGTTTATGATTTAGATTTTTTACCTTTCTTTATAACTATTTATTTTTCACAAGTATTGCTAATTAACTCATTTAGTAATGTAAACCCCCTTTCTCTTTATGAATAGCGGATATAATTTNTGCTTACAACTCAAGCTCCCAAACTTATAGTAAAGCCTGAAGGCGTCATCTTGGGTACTCACTAACCCTGCATATATTAAAATGATTGCGTCAGATCAATTGACCGGTAAACAATGGACTTGAGTTTTTTCTCTCCTCTCGTGAAAAATAAATTGTCACGGTCATAAACAGGAACATATAAAGCTTCAAGACTTAATCCTTAATAACGAATTTTTCCAAAACACGTAATGTAATCTTTTGAAGTTGTTCACTCACGTCCATTAACAGAACTATTCGAAATGGCTAGGAAGGCCTTCAAGGTTGCTTCAGCTGAGGGACGTGCTTTGAGAATTTTTTCATTTCTGGTATCTTCCCTGGCCACAAAATATTCTTGAAAATATGTCAGTGAGCATAGATAATTTGTTTTGACTACCTGAAAAAGTAGAATTTGAGGTGCAAAATTAGAACTACTCTAACTTAATCCCTCTCTCGTGAAATATATCGCATCTAGATAATCCAAGAAACTGGGCCTTACGTATGAAAGACGCACTTTTGCAGCGGGAGGACTGCAATGTGGTTGTGGTGGACTGGTCTATAGGAGCAAAGAAAGGTTATTTTCAATCTGCAGGAAACACTCGACTTGTTGGGGCTCAAATAGCAGAACTCATAAGGTTCCTGATAATCAGTGCCTCTGGATCATCTGACTTGGCCAAGAGGTTTTACGTTATAGGACTTAGTCTTGGTGGTCAGACGGCAGGCTATGCTGGAAACTATCTGAAGGATAAAGCAAGAATGACACTTGGCCGTATTACAGGTAGCCCTAGAGAAAAAATTTGATTTCAAAACATGGATATCACTGAGTTCCCACAATAAAAAACCACCTACCTCAAAATTTGTCGTCAAATTGGAGAAAACGTAAAAAACATTTCAAGTTTCGTACATACCTATAAGCAAGCACAGGCTTAAAAAAAAAAACAGGGGAATGCTTGATTTGAAGAGTAACTAAGATGTCGGTTAGTCCACATTTTGTTCTCGCCGCTACCTGGATGTTATGTCGGTCGTATAGGCAGCATTTTTAAAACTCGCGCAACATGTTTGCAAGTCTTGTTCAGGAATCCTCCATGTTTATCTTGTTTGCAGTTGAGCTGCGAATTATATCAATGGGGCACTGCTTTTAGCTCGCATGACATTCATATTATGCCCTCTATTGCAATATTGACATGACACAGCCCTTGCTTACACTTTTTTCTTAGGATTAGATCCAGCGGGACCCCTTTTTACCAATGTCCACGATCCCCGCTTCCGACTGGATCCAGGCGATGCTGGATACGTTGACGTCATACATACCGACATGCCTCGGCGGGGCAGTGTCTTTGGTCTCGGGATGCGCAGGATTGCTGGTCACACGGACTTTTTTGTAAATGGTGGCATCAGGCAGCCTGGCTGTGCACAACATCTGAAAGAGCTGGGTAGGTTACATTACATGAGGAAAATACGTATAATTCTTCTCACTGTATTTAAGTGCTCTTGGATTTGTAACAATTTAAGCTCTGGGCTAAGTCGTAAGCAAAGTTGTTCTAACTAATTAACATACCACAACCTTTATCATTTATCTAGGATTTGTATTATCATGGACTTTAAATTTGAAANGTTATTATTCATGTTATCGTCATCAAGGTAAAACATTTCTTTCTGTTGTCGAATCGGGCTTTTTTGATTGTTGGTTTTCAGCCTTCGAGTTTTGAAATTCATTAGAGGGAGATTGATAGGAAAAACAGATAAGTGGTTTGAGGACGAAACAAAATTGCGCAAGAAAACTGTTTAGTAAACGATAATGGTAATGAACTCTTTAAGACGCTGAAATATGCAAATGTGTTCACATTCCTAAGATATCCTCAACAAAACGCTCTGTGACCATGCGAGGTCGCTATACTACTACTTTGCCTCAATAAAAAACCAGTGCTCCTGGGAAGCGCGTCCATGCGCTTCCTTGCCAGCCTGTGAGAGAAGAGAGTACACAGAATGTATTGGTGAATGCCCCACTATGGGATATTCTGCCGACGAAACTAAACGAAATGGCCACTTTTATCTGAAGACAACGAGCAAAGTTCTTTTTTGCGATATGTGGATTTCTGATGTTCGTCTGTTCAAAGTCCAAAGCCCAGGTTAAAAATCAAACTGTCATCTCGAGTCGTATTACAGTTTTGTACCCATTCAGTTTAATACATTCCTTTGTTAATTGATGCAAGTTTTCTGTCATTGCTTTTTCTATCGTAGTTGTTTTCTGTTTTTTTGTTTACTATTCTTTTTTGATTTCATTTTCCGAATCTCTTCCTATCGTAAAAGCAATATCTCTTTTGACTGCGGATGATAAGTGGCGAGTTCACCCTGACAGGTTGCCTGCAGTGAAAGCAATTACAGAAATTGAAGATTGAAAATAGATTCAGGCTTCCGCCGCCCTTAGGCCTAAGCTTTTCAGAATTAGTCTAACAGTACAACCAACTCCGTCACAAAGCCATTATATAGGCTTGAAGCTATGAGGGATTTTTCTTTTCCCTTTACAGCTGTTTACTTGCGAAAACTGCTGCTTTGTTTGTGAACCTTTTGAAGGGTCTTTCTTTTTTCATGAAGAAGGATTACGCCAGCGTAGCAGAATAGAGACAAACCTAAGAAAACACGACAAGTAAAAAGGTTAGAGAACCACTATATGCAATTGTATGATATACTTTCGTCTTGGATTGTTAGGATTGATGAACCGAAGTTTCAGATTGTGGAAAGGATTGCTGTCCATCGATTGAAAAAATTCACCTTTTCGAGTCAAATGATTAATCAAATGTTAAATGTCTTTGCTCACTGATTCGTGTTTCAGTTTGTTTTACTTTGTTTGTTTCAGTTTTTTCTTTTTAAACATAAATCTGGACATACGTTTTTTGCTTACAACAGAAAAAGCAATGTCACTCACTGGAGGATAGTTTTTAAAATGTTTGGGAGATAATTGAAAATAAAAAAAGCAGTGTCCCTTGAATGAGAAGAAGGACAATTCTGGTCAACTTAGGTTTATCTTACAAATGAACATTGAACAACGACGGCAAATTGCCAAAGAAAATATCGC